ACGTGCAATCCATTTCTCTGCGTGTAAGAGTGTTTTTTTTTTTTTTTTATTCCTTTTATTTATTTTTAAGGCTCAACTGTCGAAATCAACTCTACGGAGCCAATAGTCTAGGGAATAAGTTTACAATTCATTAGAATTAAAAGTTATTCGGATTCAGGGCCGGAGCGTGGAGAGTTGGGGCGTAAAGTTTTTCTCGGTGGTGAATTTTCACTGGCGTGCTTCTATAGTTTTTGTTGTTCTTTGATCAGTTTGGTGTGTATTTTCACGTGCTCTGTCCAATTTCCAACTGTTTGTTTGTGTCGCTGCTGGTAGTGTAGGACCGTCTGTTTCTGCTGATTATTCTGCTGCCCTCTGTTATCCACTTCTAAGTCCATGGTCGTAGTTGGAGCTACAACTGCATCCTTTTCTTCTTCTGCTTCTTTTTCTTCTTCTAGCATCTCTATTTCGAGTTTTACTGTCTGCTTGTCCGAAGTACTCGTGCCTGCTAGAACGGCAGCAAATGTGTTGTTTTTTTGCCCAGCACCTTCTTCTGTTTCTCCTGTCGATTTGTTCTTCCTCTTTCCGCATGCATTTTTTTGGTGCCCCTCCTGTCCACAAGCGAAACATTTAAGTTTGTTTCCATTATAAAAAATTCTCCCCCGTCTATTGTGGAAGTACAACACCGATGGGATTTCATTTTCTACATCCATGTAGATTCCACGGACACCAGTAAATAAATCAAGCTGATATTCTGGGGGATACTTCTCTCGAACACAGCGTTTGATTTTTCCGTACTTGATTAGTGCCAGCGACAGATCGTGATCGGATACCTCCGGCGGTAGGTCAAACACTCGTACATATTGAATGTTACTACCGGCTACTGACATGTAGACATCCACTTTTTTTCCATTAGAATAATGGAACGGCAGCTTCTTTTCATTGAGCGCAAGGGCTTCTCTCATGCCCTCCTCAGAGTTGTATTTTATATAAACCATTCTCTCCTCTGCATTTTTGTAGGCTCTATCCATCGTTCCCTGGTTACCGCAAGTCCTTTTACAAAGCGGACCATCTCAGCCAGTTTTGGCTGCGCAGCATTGTCCGGAAAAAGGAAACCAAGGGTGTTTGTAACCGAAATACCACTCGACATTTTTCTTTTTCTGTGCACGAATTATTACCACTAGCGCGAAACAACAGCACAGCAAGCAAACAAAGCGTCTTTCTACTAGAAAATCAGATCGTCAACTGGAGTGAAGAGTGTTATTTTTGTTCTATTCGGACACTTGCCCGATGAATTTCTCTAATCTTGTCCGAAAAGAAAATGCTCATCAAACCAACAACATGAACAATCGTCAGAATTGTGTGGTCATGGACTTCAGTGCCATGTCGGCAAAACCCAAGTATTGTTGAATTTGGTCTAAAAATGCTACAACTGGACTGGTCGCGGGTGAAAGGTCTACAGCTCAACAACATCATGCCGTACGTATTTGTGAAGATGGACTCACTGAAATACAGCATGGAGTACACTACGTGATAAACTAGCGTACGGCTAAAAATCACGATAATAAAAGGAAAAACACATGGAGTACAAAGGGAAAGTATACAAAATTCCTTTTTTCGTTGTTAATGGTGCCGTCGATGTAAAACTACATGATTTGCCGTTCGATACGCCAAAACTTACTATTGCCGAATAAATGACCCAGTACGGTGAAGCGTTATCCATCAAGCATAATAACTGGAAAACTCTCTTCAAAGTTTTTCCAAATGGTGTGAGAATTCTCCGAATACGTATTGTTAAGTCGAATCCTTCATATCTTATGGTGGCTGGTGAAATGATTTTGGTAACTTACAGAAACCAAATACTCACATGCCGACACCTGAGGACGCCGTGTGCACTATACAATGAAGTGCTTGGAGTACGCAAAATCACTACTAGGAAATGCGCAAACACAGTCGAGCCCCTACACGGAACAAAACAATACATCGAATCAACAAAGGGAGAGGACTGACAACACTAGACTGGTCCAAATTGGCTACATATAGGTGTTCTAATGTGTCAAATTCATGATTCAGCCATGTTGGATTTTTGTATAGCGAATCCCACACGGTAAGAAATATTGTCAATACTTACAAGTATTGACAATAATATTGATGATGTGAATACAGAAATATTGTCAATACCGATGTATTGACGTCAATATAAAATGTATTGACAATACGATTATTGTCAATAAAAGCAATCGTGTACGGTCCACATATGGGACAGCGACCGAGTTTGTTTACAATTTGCTCTAAAACCGCACTTTTCCCCCCCGCGACCTCCTCGCCTATATAGTGACAAAGCTGTATCACCATTTATATACCCACCATGGTCTGGTCTATCCAGTCTCCTCCTCCGCTGCCCACGCCGGCGATACTGATACTGTAACTGCCACTGCTGCAAACGTTCGGATGTGCACTACAACATATGCAATCGAGTCACCATCGCCGTCCTACCCAGCACCTCCTCAGCCTGCCCTGTAACGGACGACAAACTAAAATGTTAAAAAAAACCGAATGTCTTACAAACTATGAGCAGTATCTTAGTATCAAGGCTCTCGCTACCCAAGTTGACAAAATGTCTTTTAGCATAATGACCATCTGGCGTAACTGGGGAAAAACCTTTTCTTATATCGATAAATACATATTTTGCCATTTAGGATGTACAACGGAATGTGCCCTGTCTAAGGATGAGGGGCTTGTTAATGATTTGTCAAGTGCTGCTATGATTTTTTTTGCTATTTGTTAAAATTGTAGTTTTTCTCCGGTTCAATGATTTGAAAGGTTCAAGCGAGTTAATTTCATGGAGCCGTAAATTGTAGTTTTACCATAATTTTAATATTAGCATAAAATAAAATAGTAATTTTAAATTCGCTTTTGTAAAGCTAAGGTAAATAGTTTGCTTTGAGTGTAAAGTTAATTTATAAGAAAGTTCTAACAGTTTTTTTGCACTTCGAAACTTGACGGGTCATACCTCTAACATAGTAGTAGTGACAGTGTAGCATGTCCTAACAACAACTGCCTGCGACTAGTGTTCGAGGGGCCGACAGGGCTGAATACGGGTCAATACTAACAAACTTTCCTAATAACCCATCTATCACAGACAAACAGACATAACACTCGCAGGTTGTTCATCGAACACGCATTTGACGGTCAATTTGAGTGTTTTTGGTTGGTGGCGCGCACGGTCGGTTCCCTTGCGTTTGACGTCTGCACACTAGCGCCATCTGTTCAGCGTACTATCCATCACATGATACTGAACAGATGGCGGTAGTGTTTTAGTGACTATGTTTTGTGGAGATAAATATTAAATGTGTTATTTCTGTTTGTCTGTGCATCTATGGTTCTTTTTCGTTGTGTGTGTGGGGGGGGGGTGTTAATGTTAATACCTTTCTATCTGTTCTTTTATTCGTTTTCTATATTCCTTAACCATCACCCAATATCGAGAGAGAGATGAGTTACTTGCATGGTGCACGCCCAAGTCGTACTACAGGGTAATATGCCGAGAGTGGTTATATCACAAAAACCACGCAGAAACGAAAATCGATGGAGCTCAGGAATAATGATGTAAATTCTACACAGTATTTATTTTAAATACAGTAATGACCCGATTTTGTCAGCCCCTCCGCGCTTCAGACTTTTTTCTTTCAATAATTTCTCATAATCATAAATCTAAATTTTTGTCATTCATCGTTAAGAGGGATATTTAAAATATACTTTGGTGCAATAGGTTCAACAAGATTACTGAAAAAGGGCATGGGTTTTGTAGAACATTGGAAAACATTTTCAAAAGAGGGGGCTGTCAAAATCGGGACATTACTGTATTCCATTTACATTTACATGATTTATCACATATTTATAGTCGTAATCTAATACACACATTTGATCACAATGCGAGCCTAAATGCTGCAGTGACCTAGTGAGCACCATAGCTTGAGTCGTCTGTTAGTATTGTGTATCGCATGGAGAACCCAACCGAGATGCTAGCCTATTAAGACTACAGTTAGTCAACTCTCGAGAAAAAAAATAGGATGTACAACGGAATGTGAACAGCTGATGATCAAAAGAAGGAATAAATATTATTCAATGGGTATATTCCCTTTTTTTGACCATTAGCTATTTTTCATATTTTTCGAAGAACACATCTTAATAAAAAACCAGCCACAAAAAATCATTTTCCAGATTATGCTAAACGGCAATTATGCCAAATGGGCCAGAGTAATAAAAAAGGGAAATACCTAGCGTTCAATCTATATTGTTTAATTAAACGGATTTACATCTATTGTGAGATCAGTTTACTCACTGAAACCCATAGAAAGTACTACTCGAAATACAACCATTTTGTATTTCAAGGTTACTGCTTGTCATTGCTATAGACAATTGTTAGACTAACTTATGAAAATTTCAAAATCAACAACTGAAAAGGGCCTATCAGCATTTGTAAACAAAACCCTGTAAGCCCCTTCCCCGCAAACCAAAAGCCACCCACGCTAATCAACGGTATCATTGTGCATGGTGGCCCTTAAGTCATTCGGCATAAAAAATATATTTTTTTAACACTATTTCTTGACGTTTCATGCATTTTAAGACATTTGGCATAACAAATCAATTTCCGAAAGGGGCGACTCCGGCGTAGTGGTAGCATCCATATCTCTCACGCCAAAGTCACGAGTTCAAATCTCACCCCCGGACAAGTCACGAATGACCCAAGAGTGACTATAATAAAAAAGAAAAAAAAAAACAATTTCCGAAATTTCGTCTATACAACAGTATTAAGTCTTTAGATACTACCCCTAAATCATGTCGGATTGACGCAACGTTAAATGACCGATTATCATACAATCTATATTACGGTATACTTTTCTGGTGCATTCTGGGGAACGGTTAACACAATGGGAATGGGAATGGTTTTCTGGGTTATATGGTTATATGATCTAACAAACCCTTCTTTTATTAAATGTGGTTGTTTAAATGTTTCTTTTCAGTATGCTCCATGTACGTATTCCGGAGGATAATCTCAAACAAAGTATCAACATACAATCGTCTACACGTCGTTTCTAAACGGTAAGTGAAGAGAATTTTCTACATTGAAATATATATTTTTCTTATTCCAACGTATTCTAAAATTCCCTTCGAAATCCTTCATATAAAATTAGTGAATATAAGATTTTCTTAATTAACATTATCTTTTACAAATTAAAAAAGGATGATCTGAAGAAAACTGTTGGGCGCAACACCAGTGGGCTTACCGGTTGCCCCTGGAGAAAAGTGCGATCGAGAGAGTGACGGACCGATTTGACTCATACAGATAGGGAAAAATAAAAATTTGGACTGTCAGTGATCGAGATCAAGTTCATCATCAAATTGCGGTCAGTTCAATTCGAAGGTTTAATTAAAATTATCACAGTTATTTGAAATTCCTAGTTCTAAATTTGTTATTCTAGTGAAAATGTAAGTAGGGGTAAGAGGGGCATAGTGAACAGGTGGGGCATAATGAGCATCCCGCCATATAGTCATAAACCTCTAATTATTCGAAACAAATTAATTTGTAGTAGTTGGTTCAATATCACCATTGCAATGATTCATGACCAATTCATTTGTTTCAAACCACAATAAATCCAATGTTAAAGCACAGGAAGCTCACTATGCCCCATCTGTTCACTATGCCCCTCCTTGCACTACGGTCTTTGAAAATGAATTAATTAAAACTTAAATAAACTTAAGTTAAAATTGGGGGCGACCCCGGCGTAGTGGTTAACATCCATACCTCTCACGCCAAAGTCACGAGTTCAAATTTCACCCCCGGACAAGTCGCGAATGACCCAAGAGTGTTAAAGTGACTATAATAATAAAAAAAAAAAAAAAATAAGTTAAAATTCGACGGCTACAGAGGTTAAAATTACACATAAAAACTATTTTTCCAACAATGCCTGCTTTTAGGCATCAATAATAATGAATAATTGAAACATTAATAATAAAGAATAGGTAAATATTTTCTTTAATTAGTCAAAAATCACCTCCTTAAAAATGAACTTCACACGGGACAAGAGTGCTACCTCTTCATTTATAAATAAAATAATACAAAAATGTAAAAAAAATTGCTTCGTTGAACATTTAAGTCTTCGGAAAGCTTGTTTTCACCAAATTTGGCAAAGCCAGCTACAAAAATATCAGTAACAATAGTTTTTGTTTGATTTCATTGGTAAACATGGTTTGCTTGTTATGTATTGCTTAATATTGCAAAATTCAATAGTTAAATAGAGTAAACAATAACAGTACTGGTGGTACTCTAAAGGGTGATACGGTCAAAATTTGGTCAAGGGAAAACGCGTGTAAATCGGTGAAATCGTTTATTTAAAAAATCAAATTAAATTTCTTTTTCAAGTTCAATTAGTATAAAATTCAGGAAAAATATTCAGTTAGGCTTCCGCTTTTCCAAATCCGAATTGCCGGGCCTTACGCTTGACCCCTGCCATCAGATTTTGTACAGCCACCTTGTCCACCTTCTTCGCCGCAGAAAGCCAGTTTGCCTTGAACTGCTGCTCGCCCTTAGCAGTTTTTTTTGGTCTTCTTTAGGTTCCGCTTGACAATAGCCCAGTATTTCTCAATTGGGCGGAGCTCTGGCGTGTTGGGAGGGTTCTTGTCCTTGGGAACCACCTGCACGTTGTTGGCGGCGTACCACTCCATGGCCTTTTTACCGTAATGGCAAGATGCCAAATCCGGCCAAAACAGTACGGAACAACCGTGTTTCTTCAGGAAAGGCAGCAGACGTTTATTCAAACACTCTTTCACGTAAATTTCTTGATTGACAGTCCCGGAAGCTATGAAAATGCTGCTTTTCAAGCCACATGTACAGATGGCTTGCCAAACCAGATATTTCTTTGCGAACTTTGACAGTTTCATGTGCTTGAAAACATCTGCTACCTTTCCCCTTCCTTTTGCCGTATAAAACTCCTGTCCCGGAAGCTGCTTGTAGTCGGCTTTGACGTAGGTTTCGTCGTCCATTACCACGCAGTCAAACTTCGTCAGCATCGTCGTGTACGGCCTCCGGGATCGCGCTTTGGCCGTCGTATTTTGTTTATCGTCGCGATTTGGAGTCACTACCTTCTTGTAAGTCGATAGTCCGGCTCGTTTTTTGGCTCGATGCACGGTTGTAGACGATACACCCAGCTTAGTAGGCATCTCGGAGAGAGAGGTTAGGGTTTCGCTTGAAACTACCGGCAACTCTCTTTGTCGTCTCAGCGGCTTCCGGTTTTCGATTTCCCCCCGATCCAGACTTCCTGGCTGTCGACAAACGTTCCCCAAACACTTTAATTACATTTGTAAAGGTTGATTTGGCAACTTTTAGCGATTTTGCCAACTTTGCGTGCGAGTAGCTCGGATTTTCGCGATGCGCGAGCAAAATTTTGATACGCTGCTCTTCTTGCTTGGATGGCATTTTGACAACTGAAGAGTAAATTCCAAAAGCAAAATAGGAGCAACATTCTACACACACACACCTTCAAAATGAGGGGTGTTCAGGTTTTTAAATGCAAAATTGAAAGAAATACGTCAAGTTGATATTGACCAAATTTTGACCGTATCACCCTTTAGCCCCACGGCAGTTTGAAAAAAAAGGTTTGAGATGACCTCGTAAAAAAACCTTTGACGAGATTTAATTTTAAGATAAGATTAAGATTGAAGGCAATGTTATGAACTTGAAATAAGATGTACAAACTCCTATAAATACAGTCCACATCGTGTTCTCTTGCCGTGCGGATCTATTTGCTTTTTGCTGAAGGAAGTGTTACTGCCAGGCATGGAAAATCATTTGCATTCATTTCGTGCATTTATTTACATTCATTTGCCCCTAACTTTTTCCATCAACAGAATTCTGCAAAATTCTGGCACGTTTGGAAGCTTGACGTAGGACCGCTAGTGGACGGAATAAATGTGAAGAGCATTTAGTTCTTTTAATTGATCAATTATCTATTATTTCAGCTCTTTCCGTTTTTGAATTGTAGGCGTACCAAATTTGTAGTAATTTTTTTCAAAGAGAAAGTTGATTAAGAGAATCAATCAAAATCACTTGTACCCCTGCTTCCAAGTTTGGTTACAAGATTACAACTCTGGAGAGCATTTTGTGTGGTCGTTAGGGGCTTGTGGTTCTGAATATGGACAAACAAGCACAGATAAATTCTATTCCAACTCTTTACTGATGTAAGCTTGATGGCCCTGAAAAGGGCCGTTTTATTGAAGAGGACATCCATGGCCACATACGCTTGGCGTGTTCAGTGTAGGTGACAGCATCACGGACCTCATTTTCCAGGAACACCTTCAGCACACCTCAGACCGGAGATACGTTTGACACCACTACGGCGAGCCAGACGACCGATAGCGGTTATCTCGAAGAACTTTGCGATGACGCTTGGCGCCTCTTTAACCAAGACCTTTTCCTCCTTTGCCACGACCAGTCAATTGTTGCTTGTTCCTACTGCTACTATTGCTGTTCACTACGCCGTCCGAAGTGAAAATGAGTGAACTAAACTCAAATTTGGGTCGATCTCATTCGTCGTGATATCACCTTGAAAGATATCGGCGCCGGTGGTTATCGTGATTAAAGGGTTACAGCAAACAGGGAAAACCGGGAATACCGGGAAATATCCGGGAATTTGAAAAGTAACCGGGAAAACCGGGAAAAACCCGGGAATTCGGTGAGAGAACTGGGAAAAATAAATTAACCATACCATAGGAACAAATTTCAGAATAAACCATTAAAACAGAGTAATCCTTTACCAAATGAATTTCTTGCTCTATTTGCTGCATAATTTTCTTCAGTTTCCCGTCTTATTGTTTTTAGAATTTAATCACTCAGCAATATTGCAAATTGATTTTTGTCGTTTCAATTACAGATGTAAAGTGCTTGGTCCTTAAAAGAAAATATTGGATATGGTGGATTTTGGAAACAAAAATTTGTAAAAACCGAAATTGAATTATTCTTTTGCAGGGTTTTAATTTTTCGTTGTTCTAAATTCTCAGGATATGAATTCCAGAATTAACTTGGAACTCTGCCCTGAATTATCTTGAAATTGTTCTGAAATAAGCCAGAAAACACCCCGCGTAATCATAAACAGTGAATTCTTTTTAGAATTTCCTTGCAACCCCTTCTAATAATTTAATTGGAATCCTTCTTAAAATACGCCCTTTTAATAGAAACTAAACGATCGATTCAACCTCTGGTGGTAAATAGGAGAACGTCAAAAAGAGTGTTGTGAACAGAAATGTTTGTCGTGAGACATAGGAAGCGGAATACTTTTTTACTTTTCCTGATAAATTGATTCATCTGAGATGCTCCAAAACTTTATTTACAGTTGAAAAATTTAATTCTGTATCGTTTTTGCAAGGATCCTGCAAAGTTTCCAGGAATATTTTTGGTCAGAAAAATGGAAAATTATAAAAGTGCCTTAGTTCTATATTCTGGATTTCTTGTATTTGAATAGTTCATTGCAAATCAGTTCAGATCTGTGAAAAATCGTAAAATATGGCAATTACTGATGGAAATTGGAGATGTTGAATGAAAAATGCTCTAATTTGCGTTGTGAAAAATCCTCATTCTGATGTAAACAAATGGTTTGGCTGACGTTTCCTCTCGAATTCGCTTGGCGCACTCTACATTGGTAGTGCATTAAAAAGGTCTATTCTCTTGAGCCTATCTGGAGATTTCGATTCATTTGAATTTTTTTTAACTTTATTCAAAACAACAGAAATCTTTTTAAATTTTATTTAGAAACCCTTGGGAGTATTTTAAAGAATTTCTTTCTAATTATCAGCAAATTTTTTGCAATCAATTTTGTTGGAGTTCTGTGATGAATCTTTCGCACAAGGGTTGAAATTAGTGCCAGAACACTCTTAGAACTCTGTTTCTTGTTGAATTCTGATCATAATTCTCTTGGAATACTTCTTAAAATTCATCTGTTTTCCTCACGAACTCCATACAAATCTCCTCACGTAAGAAAGTTCCGCAAAGTTTTGTTTTTCACAACTCCTTTTGAAATCTTCTAAAATTACCTAACAATTTAATTTAGAACATGCATTCTTCTCCACAGAAATCCCTCCAAATACATCTTAACAGAATAATTCTGGTATTCTGCTCAGAACTTCTCATTCGAAAGCTGTGTGGGAATCCTTCTCATGTTTGAAATCAACACCTTGAATTCTTTCAAAGCTTACTAAAAACTCCAGGGTTTGTCCACTAGATTCTATAGATTGTTCTGTAATTTGTTATAACCCTTAAAACGCCCCTTCAAATCTGTGATCTTGAATTTTTTTTAAATCTCACATTTTAATTATTTTTCTCCAAATCTTGCATAACGAAGGTGGCAGATTTTGAAAAAAAAGTTCTAGTTCCAGACTCTACACAAATTTAAAAGCCCCACAATCTTGGGAATCTTCTTAAATCACATTTATCCCTTCAGTAAATTCCTTTCAGCACGTTCTTAAAAATGCGTTCAATTTCGTTTTTTTTTTTGAATTTTTTAAGATTTAAACCGGGAAAACCGGGAAAAAACCGGGAATTTCAAAATGAAAATTCACTG